CCAATTAAGTGTAACAGACGACTCTTTCGTCTAGACTTATTTTTAGTATTGGCAACACTCGTATAAACAGTGGCTGCCATTTTTAAACTGAGATTAGAATAAAACACAGTCATTAAACATTATTATTCATTAGAAAGAACTTTCTCCTTTCGTGTCCAAATCTAAACTAAGCAGATAACATTAAAAACTTGTACAAAATTACTTAAATGGTGGTCTAGACAAACAATCTTTTTGTTCTGAGAAAGCACTTAAGTAATCTTCTGTCTAGTTTTTTCTCCAGTCAGGTTAGGATGGACACAATCGCTAAGCCAGAGTAATCAGGGTGGGCGAGGTTTTTAACGGGCCAGAAGTGATTTGATGAACCTTAGCTAGGTTATTCCGATTTCGATGATTTGTGGCACAACGTTCAATTCCCGGGTCGGGCAAAGTATTACTGGGTTTTTATAAATTCTCAGTAGTAGCACGGAGTCTGGAATTGTGCCCGGTATATGGCAATAGGCTCACCCCCTATTACATGGGACTCATAACATAAATAGTGAAAAGTGGGTGCTACATTGTACAGTGGCATAATGTATACCTCTGCCTACCCCTTCGGGGATAAAAGGCGTGATGTTATGTGGCACAACGGGCATCTGTATGTCAGTATCTGTATGATTTTTGCCCTTTGTTGGTACAGAGTATATTTTACTAACTGATTTTTACTAGTCGATTTAGAAATCATTGGGAGAACGTTATTAGACGTCTTTAGTAATTCTAGCCTATGGCAGATGTGTCGATGATGCATTACCTTTTTGACAACTATCAAAATCAAGTAGAGAATTTTAACCATTGACAATGAAAGAGGATCTGGTTTTCGTCTGATATTGTTTCAACAACGACCACTATTGATCCGCATCCCCGTTTCGTAGCTCTAGGGAAACAAACTTTTCTTTTCGGTGTAACCAACTAATGGAACTAAACATCGCATCATTTATTTAGATAGATGTTGTGAACATATTAAGCTAAATATTTTTTAAGATCTTTTTTTCTATTTTAGGTATATTATTGAATTTAGTTACCAATTAAGCAACCAATCCCAAAGTAGCAGATCACAATTTTGAACAAAATATTGACAGAGGATAGTGTTAATTGATTCTACATGAAAATAAGTTTAACAAGTCGTTCTAAATCAAAGATCAACAGGAAGATACTAACCAGTTCATACTGGTTAAATAAAACTTAAGTTATGACGACATAATAACGCAGGGTCTCCGATGATAATGGAAAAATACCAGCCAAATCGGAATTACGCAAAAAGCGACATTTAAAAAATATGCTAAAATAAAATGAAGAACCGTTTTCAAACATAAAATGAGGATACTACGTTACAATTTTACAATAAAACTGATAAAAGGCGACGATTTTGATTTCAATGTAACCACAATGTATCGTCCTTTCCCTTTTTATAGGGCACTTAACAGATCATAAAAAATATTTTACTCCGTCGCGTCGTGTAAGATGGTCAATATTTTCAAAGCAATCTCGCAACTTCTTGGTGAAATTTTGAGACTTAAAATTTATTGAGAAAGATTGTCAAAGAAGGAGTTTCCTTTGTCCCATTTTATACTTGGATGAAGAACACCTGCTTTTGAACTCCAAGTTTTATCTTCTTCATCTTCAATATTACGTCTAGTAACTAAGCATAAAATTTTCGTTACATCGAATAATGCAGCTATCACTTATTGCTACACTAAAAATTTACTGCAAGATCATGAAACATTAAAATAAAAGAAGGGGTATTTTCATCATTAACTTGTTTCAATACCACAATTTAATCGTTATTCATTTAAATGCTACTGTATCAAATATGCGAACACTTAAGTATCCGGTCGCCAGTGATAAATAAATATGATTTTTTCATAAATCATATAGAATCCGAGATCGAATGGGGAGTCGCTTGCTAAAATGTGAATTTAGATTTATGCTTAAGATATTGCAGATATTCTTTTAAAAACTAAAGATAAAATGAAGATTGAAGATCATTGCAAAATCGTTACTAACCCATAATTATTATGCGTCGAAATATTCGCTCTTCTTTCAATAAAAGGCCCTAGTTACAGCAAAAACGTCCGCAGAATTTTCTTGCAAAATATTTCAGCTTTACTTAATACATAGAAACGACGCTTACCTGAACTTCATTTGCTAATATTAAGTCACTATTGTTACCGTTAAGAGTGTTTAGACAGTGCAATGCATAACATGCCACTGTTTCACAAACAATGATCCGAGCATTACACTCATTCAGGGAAACTCGCGGCTGTGGAGAAACATGAAGTCAATGAACATGTTCAATGGCGAAAAGACTAGATATGGAAGCAAATCGAACATCGTTGTTTCAAGTTTTCGATTGTGGGTCGTGGGATTTTTGCACTACTGGTAGCTAGTAAATCGTACTAAAAGTGTAGGTTTCCATTCACGTAGTGTGAAGCTAATGTAAGTAATATGTTTTTGGATACGGGTTTGTTGATATAATACTTTCTTGTGTGATGGCAGAAGATAAAACCCCTCTTTCGAAGAAATCAAGCAATGAGTGTTGTATTAAATGATTTATCTATCTGCAATTCTTAATGTGCAAACCGATAAAAATCTGTCAGAAAATATCATTGGACTTTCTCTGCACTCTCTCATTATGATGAGATATCAGCAGATTTCCAGACTTTATTAATGTTTCTAATCAAGTTGGATGTTATCGTTTAAATGAGTTTTATCACTTTCATCCTGCAGGTAAGCTGTAATAACTGTAATCTGTTTACGGCAGGGCCTCAATTCTTTAGATAAAGACTTAAGATTTTTAACTGTTAATCAAAACCAAATTGTCCGAAAGAAGTTAGGTAGTCGTAGTCAATAAACAAACCAAGTAACTACCCATTATACAATTTGGGTGTAATCAAAACGGGTATCCTTTTTAACAGCCCCTTGAGTCCATTTATTTGCTAACTAACTTTTACATCCCCGTAACCTTATCTTAGATACTTTTGGAAGTAATTTGGAACCCGAAACTGTCATAAACACCTAGAATGTTCCATGATGCACTCAAAACCCGTTTTATCCTTTGGTTTAATTAACCGAGAAGGGCCGGAACATTCTAGACGTTTCTTTTCTGTAAGTATTGAACGTTTTGGTCTTCAGAAATGGCACTTCAAAGGCAATTTCCTATCTGTCACGAACATACAAAGTTGATCGATTTGCGGACAGACTACCCAACGGTTTCGCTTCATAAAAACTTATTAGAGCCGGTTGGACCATTAAATGCTGGAACTGCCAGGGAAAAACGGATCTTTATCGAGTTTCGGTTAGATATAGTCGACCTATATTTAAGGGCCTTCGGTTAGCAGTGGACAAAAACTTTTAGCGGTATTTCTTCAGATGATTTTTCTTTCTTTATTTGGAGAGTTGGAGTCAATCTTTATGGAATGAGACTAGTAAAAATAAAAGGCGGCTGGCAGAGGAGAGGCTTATGTTTTGGATAGAATCGGATTGACTCAGTTTTAAGTAACCAGTTATTAAACTTTATCCATTAAAATCCAGAAGATTCTTAAGATCTTTATTCAAGTCAATTACAAAAGCAACAAAAACGAAATTTATTTCATTTTCCTTTTACGCACCAGTTTCAATTCCTTCAACATTTCTTTGGGCTTAAAAGTAATTATGTAGTAGCAATCGTAATTATAATCGTTTATCACGCAACAATATGAGGTGGGTACAAAAAGACGGACGTGTCTAATGTCCGTCCGACGCATTTTCTAGGTAATTTCTTTCTTTAAGCCTTTTTCTTTAAAAATCATTCTTTATCATGTTTGCCAACCCTAACGACGTCGTAAGCCTGTGCTGGTTTGTGTAATCTTTTGTTATTATTGAACCTTCGTTCTTAAAACAGGGATAAAATTGTTCATTTAAGAATTCAGAGATAATAAAATTATTCTTTAGAACTATAACATACTATGAAAAAGAGACTGAAAAAAATAGGCGCCACCGCCGCCGCCAGTATTTCCGATTTCACGCGAACTGCCGTAGCGAAATCGATTGTTGGCTATCCGTAGCATTCCCGGAAAACCCCAAAACCCGAATCAATTGCCAGAACGAAAAGAACCGTAGTTTTACGAGAGAAAATCTAAAAGTCAAGGTAAATGTGTTAATCGTACAGTTAATACGACATTCAATGACTCAGATAACAAAACAATAAAATTATTTAATAAATTATACGTATGAAACTAGGGCAGTACAAAATAGGTTCACAATTAAAAATCTTTGTCTATGGTTGACAAATAACCATAGCTAAATAAAATTGTAGCCAAAGAGGATTTTTTGCAAGAGACAAAGAAATGAATAGACAATATTTCATGCATCATAAATTAGCATAGTGGTGTAAAAAGGACATGAAGTTGGTAATAATTTAATATTGATGTAGGCCATAATGATTCTGACTTTGTGTTCTAGAAAACAATTTCATTAGCATTATAAATGTAATATTTTTGGAACTTACAACTTGAAATAACGACATTTTTCCTAATGAAGTCACTGAAGAAATATAAATACTTTTCTTCATATAATATAATACATTTTCTAAAGATTTGTTGATTTTAAGAAAATAAGAAACTACTGGCTATTTCCTTAACATTTTCATTTCTATATTATATTAGAAAGATTACATTTTATTGGTAGGTATTTTTTATCAAACAACATTGAAATAATAAAGTAATCATTTCAATTAATAACTATGATAACATGTGACTGTAATTCCGACCTTCATGCAAATTATGTAAGATGTTCTTATAAATAGATCACTAGAATACCTCTTCAAGAATATTATTGTGTGCCAGTTATAAAATATAAAATGTAATTCAATGAAAAAAAAAGTAAATGAGGTTATAATTTCAAATAAAAAGTGGAAGGAAACTTATTTTTAAATTAAAACACATTTGTAAAGTAATGAATTATTAATGAATGAAATAGTATCTCACCTGGTGGGCTATCAGTGAGGATTGTGATACCGGTGGGGTCAACATGAGGGGGGAACGCCTCATACAGATCGGGCTCCTCTTCAAGCACCGCGGACAACATCACGGAGGGCATCCCGGCTCCACCGTCACTAACACACACACTCTATGACTAGACACTACACAACACTACACTTGACTTGCCGAGTGTCTGTAGCTCTCGCGGAGCTCACACCCGTGAGCCACCCCGAGCCATTCCCGACTACCACTTGAACATATGAGTCTGACTTGCCTAAGTCAAATCTTGCTGCACCATTTTTAAATCTGCAAAGACAAAGTTCAAATCACTGGATATATGTCAAGACTGCCAGTAATGTAACACTATCTCCAAGATAGCACTATCAACATTATAATAATCAACCGATTATGCTCCCGGCGATAGCGAAATCTTAGCAACTCTCAACAAACAATCAGTTACCTAATTCGTTATAATTAAAACGCTACAGATCAGCTGATTGCTACGGTGCCAGGCCAGACTTGACATTTTATAGCTATTTTAAGACTTACGGGCACCTGATCGGACTCGCTTCAATGTCAGATGCCAAGTACGAAAATTTAAAACACGCCGCGATATCCAGTGTTAATTGTATGAAAAGGTGACCGTCCCGCGCCGGCACCGTACTCACCGCAATCCTGACGATAAATGATGCGAAGCAGGATCTGCGCCTCCGTATTTACCGCTTTGGAGTCCCCGCGGCGACTAAACCAAGTGGCCAGTTCCCGGCCCAACGTAATCACGAATAGGATAATAGTCTCGAATGGGAGCCAACGCTTTTGCTTTGTCACTTAAACGAACAACACTGTACATCACACAGATATATCGGTAACTGACCAAACACACGGATACATTGTGAATAAATTCAATGTTATGTGGGATAATTTGCGAGCCCCCTTGCTTTCGTTAATCAAATTATCGATGTATCCGGTGAAAGTCGTTTTGGTTTTTAAGCGGTAATACACGAATGTGTAGAAAATGATGTTACGACTTTAAATTTCGTTTTGTGGGAAAAAATCCCGTTCGTAGAATGAGATCGCACGACCGCGATATCCACGATTTGCGAGAAGTTGAGAACGCGATTCTCTCGTCGTCGCACACCCGTCGGACCGTCGAACAGGAAGAGCACAGACTAAACAAATTTTATTCAGACAGATTCAGAATCGACGAATATCACTTTCACTTTTCTGCCTAATACGTATCATTTTATTATTAAATGTAAAAGTACAACTAAATTGATTAATTATTGATTACAGCATTAAACATTAATTCACTAAAGTAAAAACAAAGAAAGAAAGAAAAATATTTATGCAGCATAAGCTATTTATGGACTTTTTTTACATGTCGAATTTTTTTATTTACAAATAATATAAATAAAATAAATACTAACTATTATTAAATATATACAACTTAAGATAAAAATTAAACTAAAAATAACTATTTGAAGAAAACATCGAAAAATTCGTCCGCATCGACGTCAATAGGGAAAGTACCCTGAAGGCTGGCAGCATTGCCACGATGTATGGCAATGCTTGTATAACCTTTGACTGAGAAAAGACCAGCCCTCTGGTTACGAGATGCGTCAACCAGGAGTTTCGAAATATTTTTGAATAATTTATGGGCACTCGGACCCCACAGACATAATGGATCAACCCCAAAAGGCCAAAGATATAACTACCAGCAAGGTTGCTAAACTTGCGGCGCTTGAGGTTTTCAGCAGAGGCAGCAGCCGAACCAGCACAACCCGCTTTTAGTGGAAAATGAGAAGGTGCAAGGGTATTGACGCAGGCCGGCCCGCGCTTCTGCTACACGATAGGCTGTGGTGACCGAGGTGATCGACCATCTCACCGCATTGACAGCGATGCGGAGTAACATAGGGTGCACCTAGACGCAAGCAAGCCGCAAACCAAAAAGTTGAGTCAATCAACCTCGTGCCAATATTGAGTGATGAAAGTGCCTGAAGCCAGAGGCCTGATTACCACTTACCCACAGCCAATAGGCGAGCTAATTTCGCAGGATTGGTGCTGGTATTAATGAATTGTCTTTGGGAGGATGAGTTGACAGGCAAGGCTGTATTGGGGCATGTTTCTGTCCAAACGTTATATTCATGGTTTTTGACGACGTAAAATTAATAAATTAATAATCCAGTTTATTTTCACTTTCATTATCACTTCACGGATACTAAATAGTATCCATTACATAAATGATAACGCGTCATCTTTATTATATGCTTGGAACTCATAGCTTCTCTGTAACTGAACACTGCATTTAATTTTAATTAAATTCTAAGTTACTTGATAAATAGAATCAACAAAGTAATTAATTTTATGCCTAACATCCACTCTGATTTTTTTCATGGTACTTGGGAATGTTATTCGTAATGTCTTTGTTTTCATACTCATTTTCTTTCTCTTGGCAACATCAAATCAAATGTCATTTTAGAAAAGTGTTAAAAACAATGAAAATTATAAAATAATTTGATTAAAATTAATTAAAATTCATTACTTCTTGTACCTAAATGTTTGACAAATTGAATATTTTTTTAATATTGTTCACTTCGATGTTCTTTTATCTTTAGATTATTTGCTTAGTTTCAGACTAATACTTTAATGAAACAGCTGTTTTTATGCATCCATGTTCAATGTTAATGTACTTGAAATAAGTATTTGATTATTTACATAATTTTTCCAAATGACTTGATTTTGTTTGCTAAGTGTAAATACTGCTTTAGATAAAAACAATTACCAAAGACAATACGCTATCAAGAAATCTAACTGTTTTGGTATGTTTACAAATTGAAAATGAAAAATCTAAAAAAAATATCATTTACATTTATCATTCAAGCCGAGCAAAAACCATGTTTATTAAATATTTAATTCTTTGTAATTCGTCTACTTTAATAACAATTTACAATTACAGTTCGATAATGAAAACTGAATGTTTTTACATTTTAGTAGAAAGTGTAATCAGTAACTGGCAACATCAAAATCCAAATGTCATTGTGACGCAATAAACTGCACAGCTGTGTCATGTTTTCGTTGATAATTTTGCAGATTGTCGTTGCCTAAAACAAGAAAAACAGATAGAAGTTGCGAATTTCATCAAATAATTTATAATTTCAAGGACATGTGATTATATTAAGATGTCTTCACCTAAAACCGAATCTCTTAAAGGTATTTTATTGACCAATTTCTTATTGTTTACTTGTACGGCTTCGAAGTGTATTAGAAAAACATGTATAATTTCGTTTTACAGATACAGTGACAGTGTTAATTAACGCTGTAGGTGATAACGAGAATTCCGTGAACAATGTTGTAATAAAATCATTGACGAAAATAGCGAATTCATATCCTAATGAGGTGATAGAAATATTTTGTGAATTCTATACTAACACCGTTAAAGTGAACCCTACGCAGCTTGGAAATATTGTCAAGTGAGTTATTTCATGTTATAAATATGTCTTATGATGATATTGAAGGAGATTTATGTGTCCCTGTAAATAATGCAATAATTTATTTGTGGTACCTTTGTTGTGTTGTGTAATGTTCTGCTGGTTATCTAGACGGCTTATTATCATAATATGACTAAGTTGTATCAGCACGACTCTCGCATGCCATGACTAATTCTTGCAATCAAAACAATAAATGATGTATGCATTTTTATCACAGCTATTGTTTTTTTTGTTCCTAATAAGTCAATGTAATATGAAAAAGTATGTAGGGATCTTTATTGTTCTATTACTTATACAACTGTGTTTGACAGTATAAATATTGTATTCAACAACAATAAGTTTTTTATCTAAACCATTGCTGTGACAAGAAAATATCTACCCTCTACAACAAAAATATAAAAATATAGGTACTCCGTCTGTATCAAAAATATAAAAATATTCTCATTCTTATTACAAATCCATAATGATAAGAAAATCTAATAAACAGATTTTACATCTAACTTATCTAATAAGATTATATTTCATCTAAAGCATTGAAACAACTTTGTGATGTATTCTATTTCACAATGTTATCAACATTTATAAATTTTAATAATACATTTAATGGGCTTCTAATCTATGTATATGCATATTATCATGTTAAAAACATATTTGAATAAAACAAAATGTCCATATTAAATGTTTTGCCTTGAGGTAAAATTACAAATATCCATATGTAATAATGTCATGGTGGCGCAGAGATTTAAGTCACTCGCTTCTCATGCATGAGGGTGTGGGTCCGAAACCTTCCAACGACAAGTACCAATGTGACTTTTTCTGCATTATATGTGCTTTCTAAGATTATCTAGACAATACTGACAAACGGTGAAAAAAACATCGTGAGGAAACCTAGACTTATAATTTCTAATTATAAGTTTGTAATTGCCAACCCGCATTGAGCAAGTGTAGTGATTAATGCTAAAATCTTCTCCATGTGAGAAGAGGCTTTGCTCAGCAGTGGGCTATTATAGGCTGTTAATGATGATAAGTATATATTATTATTGTCTTCAGTCAATTAATTTCAATAACTTAATTGTCAGTAGGTTTGGCTACAACAGATAAAACATACAAAATGTTTCAAAATTCTATTATAATATAGTAACTAAAACTGGCTGAAATGGTTTCAACTCATGTAGAATCACTTAAGTGTGATGTCCAGATTGTACCTGTAGTTGAAAGAATTACATAACATACATTTTAAAAACCTGATTGAAAAAGAGTAATCTATGGAGTTCCTTGGTTGTTCTTCTCCATAGGAATCTACACCTTGGAACGAGCAAATAGCTTCACTTTTAATTTTTTTCTTGACATTCAAAAATGCCTTTCTGGTCTAATTGAAATAAATGATTTTGAGTTTGACTTTGATTTTTATGTAATTATCTAAGTAGCTATACAGTAATTATGTCCCCATTAGTTTTTCCCTCTTTGATAATGATACCTACCTACTCAAAGTGGGGCATACTATATAATGAAACATAAATAATGAAAGTGGATGTTACATTGTACATCGACATTAAGTGCCCTAATGTGCACCTCTGCTACGCTACTCCTTCTGGGATAAAGCATAAAATAAAAGAAAATAAGTCTTCTTTTTTGAGGGAATTATCTAAGTAGCTATACAGTAACTATGTACCCTTTCGTTTTTCCCTCTTCGATACCTACCTACTCCAAAGTGGGGCATACTAATCATACATCATATATTCATGAAAAAGGAATGAGTCTGTTTATTCGAATGCGGCATAATGCATTGCTTTTATTGTTGTTGTACCTATTATTATTATTATTAGTGAAAATTTAAAGCACAAATGTTCTACAAAACTAATTAATTTTTGCCGAGTTATGTAATCAATCCTATTGTGCTATTACCAATTCATCATGGCATAGGAGGAAATGAGGTCTATTATTGGGTTTGATAAAGTATCACTGAGGTTTTAGATTCTCTTATTAGAAGCTACAAGCTTTGCATATCTTATACTATAATATAAAGCGGAAGAGTTTGTTTGTTTGTTTGAACGCGCTAATCTCCGGAACTACAAGTCTGATTTGAATAATTATTTTTGTATTGGATAGTGCATTTATCGAGGATGCCTATAAAACATCACGCTACGACCAATAGAAGCTGAGCAGAGCGTGTGAAACCGCGCGGAAGTAGCTAGTAGTCCATAAGATGTATTTATTGCTTCTATAAAATAGACATGCATCTGGTAAAAATATAATTTAAAGTAACAATTATTACTACATAAATAATTAAATATTTATAACTCAAAATTAACTACAACTAAACTAGTGAATAAAAAGAAAGTAAATAAGAAAACAACAAAAATTATACCCTTACTTAGGCGTCAAAGTACAATAGTCCATTGTATAGTATTAGACTCGCCACCTTTTACAAAATGTTGCGACTTTTTAATATATGCATTATTGTCTAACTCCTGCCTCATTGGCCGAGTGCGAGTGCGAGCCGAGTGCATCGCAAATGCGACTGCCGGGCTAGGGGTCTCGGGTTCAATTTCCAGGGCAAAGTATTACTGGGTTTGTAAAAACCTCAGTAATAGCACGGAGTCTGGAAATGTGCCCGGTATATAGCAATAGGCTCACCCCCTATTACATGGGCCTCATAACATAAATAGTGAAAAGTGGATGTTACATTGTACAGTGGCATTAAGTGCCGTAATGTACACCTCTGCCTACTCCTTCAGGGATAAAAGGCGTGAAGTTATGTTATATATGTCTTTTTTTAAGGGGGGAAAATCATCGAATGACTGCAGCTCCCGCCTGGGTGAGGCGGGAGGGAGTGTCAGACTCTTACTGACTAAAAACCACCCCATTCCTTCTCCTGCACGTCGAGCCGGAGCCCCGGTTACCCGTTAGGTTCTCCGCGACATGTTATATATGTCTAACTCCCTATGTTGGTTATAAGACATAATAGTTATTATGTTTTCCTATACTTTTATTATTTATTGCAGGGTTCTTGAACAAACATGTGTGAACCAAGTGAAGAGGTTGGAGCCGGCTACGGCCAACAATTTGGTGACAGCTATGCTGCGAGCTATGATGGAGAATGTGACGTACGAGCCAGTTGTCCAGATGGGCGCCTCCGCTGTCCTAGTGGCAGTTGGACACGAGCACTTGGATCTGGTGAGTGGAATTAGCTATTTTATGAAATAAATCGTCTGATAGGTGTCCCAAAAACAAAGCCATGACATAACAGTGGAGTAGAATTTGACCCCTACTCTTCCTGCGGGATGGGAAATCTTATGTAGAGGGGGCCCATGGTCCAGTTTTGAAGTGTCCCTGGCTCTTGACAATAATTGATTTGGAAAGAAATTCAGAAGTAAGAAATTAATCAGCCTCGAGTCCTCTAATTTTGCGCTTACAGCGTGACAGCAGCTATGCACGCCGTAACTAGACTGCATAATTATTGTAATTACCACATTTAGCACCCGTCCTGAAGTTTACCACTTGGCTATACATTTACGGGAAAATATTATAGTAATATATCTGGAAATGAAGGACACAGAATATTACATGGGACTTATAACATAAATAGTGAAAAGTGGGTGTTATATTGTACAGTGGCATTAAGTGTCGAAATGTGCACCGCTGCCTACCCCTTCGGGGTTAAAAAGGCGTGGTGTTATTTTATGAAGGACACAGAAATTGAGATTTTTAAACAAACTCACTCAATACTAGCTAGAAAATAGGTCTTACATTTAAACGTAGGTACGTAGAACGGTAGGAGGTTCTAGGAATTGAAAACATAAAGTAATGTTTATTATTATTATTACTTACATAGAAAAGATGGTAATTTAAACATCATCACTCACAGTAGGTATCCATTTTATACTCTAAGTGGTGTCAATGTCGAGTGCGTCACGGTATCACGTAGCTAGCCGGTTGCAGTAATCTGGCTAGTTTAAGAATACCACATTAAATTGGTGCTAACAGCTACCATTTCCTGCCAATGTCTGTTGGGATATCATAGTCATAGATTAGTTGGGACAGAGAGGAGACTGTTAAAAAAACTATAAATTAGAGTTTTGTTCGATACAATAGGATTTAACTATTCTAATAAAAATCTGAATACAATGTAATGTGAATAGATTGCCTCGTTGGCCGAATGTTCGCAAGGGCGACTGACGGTCTCAGGTTCGATTCCCGGGTCGGCCAAAGTATTACTGGGTTTTTAAAAAACCTCAGCTGTAACCACGGAGTCTGGAATTGTTCCCGGTATATGGCAATAGGCTCACCTCCTATAACACGGGACTCATAACATAAATAATGAAAAGTAGATATTATATTGTGTATTGACATTAAATGCCGTAATGTGCTGTTCTGGGATAAAGCATAATATTTATAAGTAGAAAATAAGTCTAATATTTGTACATCAATTCAGTAAAATGTAATATAACTCCTATTGTAATTACATTTTGCACATTTTTTTTCTTTTTTTTTTTAGGTCCTACGCTCTCTAATCAACCAGCTGTCTCCAGCATCAGTGCCGCACTATACAATAGCACATACGCTGGGCACCCTGGCGGCAGTTAACACACATGGCGTAGTGCCACATATTAAGGAAATTCTCAGCAAAATGCTACCATTACTCTCATTGGTCAAAGCTGATGGTTTGAAGCAGGCGTTTGCTTATGGTAAGACATGTTTTTTTTTTAAATTGTATGGCCTACCTGTAAGTGACTTTTAGGGCCCGTCACAATGTCAGTAGTTGTAGCCAAATGCCATTTAACGCTTGTCTACATGTAGAATAGAAAACCAAATTATACAGAATTGACGTAAATTTTGACACTTGTCAGTGTCATCCCCATACATTTTGATTTCTACTCTCTCGGTAGACAAGCGCTAAAGTGGCGTTTGGTTAAAGACCCTGCAGCTGTAGCCAAATGTCATTTAACGCTTGTTTACATGTAGAATAGAAAACCAAATTATACAGAATTGGCGTAAATTTTGACACTTGTCAGTGTCATCCCCATACATTTTGATTTCTACTCTCTCGGTAGACAAGCGCTAAATGGCATTTGGCTACAGATACTGGGTAGATAAATTTGTATTAAGAACGTAATTTGTATGAACTATCTGTAACATAAGTTTATCAGGTACTTATATAGAGGTGGTTAAGCCAGCGCTTAGTCTATCAGGTGTTAAAATAAAGAAAGAAATAAAGAAAAATTGTTTATTTGCACACCGTCACAAAGTACAATAACACACAAAAAAAATTAAAACAGTGAAGACAGCGCAAAAAGGCCAGAGCTCAGCTTAAATGCCGTGACCCGAGTGCGCTCGAGTCGCGGCGCTGATGATGGTCAATGGGTTGCAAATAATGATGTCCAGCTAGTGGTCTCGGGTCCAATTCTTGAGCTAGAGTATTTATTAGGTGTTTCGATTTTCGTAATAATCAGTAATAGCACAGAGTCTAGAATTTCACTCTATATATCTGATATCACAGTAATTGCAACAGGCTCGCCTTTTCGGTATTTAAAAGTGATATAAAGAAATCCTAGAATTCCAAAGTCATTTCTACATAAATGGGCGTTGAACCTGAGTATACTCAGCCACGGGTAAAACTAGTAGATTAATCAATAATTAATTTAAACAAATACAAAGTATTTATTTATAGAAATAGCGATAAAAATGGCAGATGTGTCTTGTTTTATCTAATAACCTTTTTTATCGCTGCAATAAAATGACGAGGTTAATCAGCGTTTGTTGAATGTATCATGTCTTTATTATATTATGTTGTATTTATTGTTAATTGTAATATAATACCTGGTGTTTTCCAAAGAGGTAGACAGAAGTACAGTTCTAGACTCTGTGTTATTAATTTCAGCATCATTGCTTTCCACTTCGATAGTTGGGTATAGTTTCGATTATTCTAAGTCCAGATTCGGACCTCGACACGTAGATAACTGTATTCATTTTTATTTGGAAGGAAGACCGAAAGCAAACTTTCTTCGTTACAAAAAAAAGTTAATGAGCGTCTTTTCTTTCCAGCCTTTGGTCACTTCGCAGTCGCCGTATCCGAACAAATAGGTGACAATGTAGAAAATGAGAACATAACATCTATCAAAGATAATTTTGTCACAGAATTTACCATAATATTTGATGTACTATACAATCAATGGCTTGCGTCCTACGAAGCTAAAGTCTCAGAATCTGTGCTCGAAGCCTTAGGCCCAATCACAAGATTGATCTCAGAAAGACAATTCAATGAAACTGTCAACAAATTCGTCCTTTCATTGCTGTCTTTGTACCGCAAACCAGCAATCAATTACTACTACATAAGTCAATGTATATCGTACTTACTTTCTCCATCGCCTTTGAATCCGAAACTGAGTTTGAATGACAGCGTCATCAACTCTATAAACCATGTGCTATTCAATCTGGTTCTTTTAGAACCGGATTATGATCAACCTCAGACGGTTAAGAACCATTTTGAGGTCCTTAGGTGCTTCGACCACATGGCTGGCCAGTTCCCCGACCAAACCATAGAAAGTCTCCTACACCAGTGCAAAAATAATCAGGAAAAAGACAGAATGAAAGCTGTGATCATTTTAACACATTTGACAACGTCATCCCAAATCTTTGTTGAGAACTATGCCCATAAATTCATAGTGTTGCTCAAGATAATGACTACCATGGAACAGGGGATTAAAATGAAGAAGTTGTTAGTGAAAGCGATTGTTGGGCTCGTGTATAGGAACTGTATAACGACTCCAGAAGATTTTACCATGGTTGAGTTCATTATAAAACACTGCAGTTACGAGGGACCGCCTAATGTTTCGAAACACGATGTTCTAGATCTGCACGATACGTGCAAAAGTTCCTTAATTCTTATGTGCAATACAGTGACTAGCATTCGGTCTCAATTACGCAACTTGCTACTCACAGCATTAACCGGGGAAGAATTTACGGCATCAATGGCTACCGTATGCCACTGTCTTACTTCTCTCCTCCAAAACAACTCTGACGTCACAGCCGACGAACAATCGGAGAAGGAGATCGAAATGAAATGCTCTCCTGATCTAGTCTTCGTTCGGTGTCTTACGCATGTGGTAGAACCAGACCAAGTAGAACGGAACAGAAATATTCTAGTCTTTCTTGAAGAATACTCCGGTGATGTTCACAAGAACCTTAAAAATTCATGGACGATTGAAATTCAGAGACTCCTGAAGTATGTTGAGACGACGGAGACTAAGGAACAGTGGCATAGCATGCTGTTAGATCTATTAGTGTCTGCTGTAGAACAAGTAAACAGCAATAAATGGGTGGAATTCATCGCTACGTTGATTTCACAGCAGATTCTGTCCAAAAAACAGACTCCAATGATTAAGGGAGTATCTTTGCAGTACTTGGCAGTTCTGTCTTGTCATATGTCCAACGCTGCAGTAGTTGAAAAGATTCTGAAAATTATTCTACTGGCCTTAAAATCTATTCCAATGGAGAGTAGCGATTATGTCAGCAAAGCTGTAGGGATCGCTTCGAGACAACATGGCGAGTTTATTTTAAATGAACTGGACGCGACTTACAAAGAAAATGAGTCGAAACGAGGCAGTAAGATACTTAATTTCTTATCTTCAAGACATTCCAAAACAGAAGCGGAGTTGAGCGTTGTTAGGTACGCGGTTATCACGTGTTACGGGAAGGTTGCTGTAGACTGTTTGGACGTCCATGTCCTGGCCAGGCTAGGGGACAATGTGACAGCGATTCTTTATGATATCCTGAAGTCGAATCCACCGTTTGATCTTTGCACAGCCAGTGTTACAACTCTATACGAGATCAGCAAGGCTTTGTACCCGGCTGCTCATCACAATGTGGCTCTAAGGAACCGTTGGCAGTTGCTCAATGCAGTCCTCGAACAAATATACAACACAAACCTTGATAAAAGGAATGTGGAATTGTACCCTATCATAGTTAAAGCTTCGAAAGCATTGACGAAGTTACAAAAAGGGATACTCCCCGAAGAAAGAAACACTATTTTGAGGGTCTTGTTCAACAGTATATTTGGGGAGCTCTCTTCTTTCAAGAAGAAGTATGAAATTGAGGGTAATGGTGATAAAAATGATAACCTAGCAAAGACCTTGAACGACAGTCTGTCACTTCTGCATCAGTTGATTAAAGAGCTGATCATCCAGTCCACATGTTTGAGCACAATAGATGATCTAATAGGGTTGTTAATCGAATGGCTCCGACACGAGAACGATGAGATCCGAACAGCGTCAACCATGATTCTACACGTGATATTCGACACTTACATTAAAAACGTTAAACTGAACTACGAAACACCGAGCAAATTTGGCCAGATGGGTTATTTATTGGGCCTCATTATTCCCGGGATCGCAGACACCAACTTCCCAGTCCGACTGACGACTATAGACTGTATCAAAGTGATAATTCAGATACAAGATCTGTACGAAGGCCATACAATTGGCCCTGATGACGAATGCATGTTGAATTTGGGTCATCTTCAGAACAATATCTTGACGAATGACCTGAATATGATCAGTGATTACTGTACGGCGTTGTGTGAGGCTATTTCTCCGAAGATACCTCATCATCACAACATGCAGTTTATTGAAAGTCTGTTGGAAGGGTATGACGACCAGGAGTTGAGGAGTGTGGGGATCAGTTCTATTTTGGATGCGTATTTCGTGAACAAGGGTCAGGACTTGTATCAGAGTATTGAGAGGATCGTGGAGGTGATGTTGGGGACTATGTCTGAGGTCGGCGTGGAGGCCCGGCAGCGACTGATGAGGCCGCTGACGTCACTGACACGTCATCACTCCAACGCTGTGATAGCTGTGCTGTTGGCCCAGAGACTACCTTTGAAACCGTAAGTTTTTGATCTCATTTCATTTTGGTTTATAAATGTAAACAGAAAATATTTTTGCTGTAGTTAATAGTTAATTAATATAAACTAGTGAAAGGTTTTTATAATACTTACTCGACATCTTTACTTTTCCGCGTATAAATACATATACATATTTGCTATCCATTTTCCGTATACCTACCATTGATGGGTATGGCTAATGAGTAATATTTATGTAATTTAAGACGAACAAAGAAGGCTTATTAACTTATTGAAAAACCTTATTGTTCCAACCTTAAATGTGGAAGAGCCAAGCTTCAGCATAATGGGCCGGCTCGACCGGAGTGATACCACGGCCTCACAGAAAACCGACGTGAAACAACACTTGCGTTGTGTTTCGTCGTGTGAGTGAGGTTACTGGAAGTCCAATTACCCCAATCTCCCAATACTCAAAATCCTAATCCCCAAAAGGTCAGTAATGCACCTGTAACTAGTGTTTCGGCTGTCCATGGGCGGCGCCGATTGCTTACCATCAGGTGATCTGTCTGCTCGTTTACCGGCTTATTTCATAAAAAGAAACTTATGAAATAATCGTGATTGTAGACTTTAAAATTTCCTACCTTCTATTAAAAGATACAACCAGCAATAACAAATAACAAGACTTAGTATCCTTTTTTCACCAAACTTTCTTCTTGCAGGAGCGTCCTAGCATGTTGGCGTAGTCTAGCTCAAGACGAGGGTCTCTCGTCAGCCATTACGGACAACTTCCTCCGGCTGATGACGTCAGTGGAACTATATGAGGACCCCTACCATATAACCGAACACCACATCGCCGCTCTCCAGCCCTTAACTGTAAGTTATTGGTTTTTTAAACATCAGTTTTTAAAAATCGACTATATGAAAGTTCTTCTGAAAGAAACATAACATTACGCCTTTTACACGAAGGGGTAGGCAGAGGTGCACATCATGGCACTGTACAATGTAACACCCACTTTTCACTATTTATGTTATGAGTCCCATGTAATAGTGGGTGAGCCTATTGCTATATATCGGGCACAATTCCAGACTCCGTACTACTACTGAGATTTTTTTTAAAAATCCAGCAATACTTTGCCCGACCCGGGAATCAAACCCAAGACCCCTTGCCCGTCATGTAATACTAATTTTACCAATTTACAGCTTATAAGTGCCTTCGGAGAGATGTTACAAGAACCTACAATGAAACCCATCTGTATCGCCAAGTTTGCGGATCTCTTCGCGGTCCTATACACGACGCTAGCTTGCTACATTGACGCGGAATCGCCTGCATATTCTCCACCAACCAATAAGACGCAAGAACGGTTTGGATTCATCCCCAACAGGGATGCTATCAAATTGTCTCCTGCTAAGATCACTGTGCACACCTTTAACGCGTTCCTGGAGCAGGCTGACTGTCATAAGGTATGTAGATTTAGTTGATAGTTTATTAAACAGGGTGGAATTGTGTTATGCCACCTGAAGGGTAAGTAGTCTTAATACTTTAGATAGAAAATTTTACTCAAAGAAACCCTTGCTTTATTTTTGAAAATAAAGAAAATTGCATTCAAAGATTTTTAAAAAATCGCTTGTCGCACATGGTAATCAAACCGACTAAAATTAGTAAAAGTTAACTCCCACTTAAGTGTGGGAGAGCCATGCTTCGGCTTGAATGGGCCGGCTCGACCGGAGTGATACTACGGCCTCACAGAAGACCGACTGCACCACGGTTTTTTTTTGTGTTTCTAATTTCTTGTTGTGTGTCGTAGCAAAATAAATGGTCTTTCTTTCTTTACGTGAAGCAACGCTTGCGTTGTGTTTCGTCGTACGAGTGAGGTTACCGGAGGCCCAATTACCCCCCAATACCTATTCAGGTATTGGGAATTCCCCCAACGAGCATTTATTTCAATTAAACAATAATTTATCCGGGAGAGCCATGCTTCGGCAGGAATGGGCCGGCTCGACCGGAGTGTTTCGCCTCTCTCTGTTTCGTCGTGTGGGTGAGGTTACCGGAGGACCAATTACCCTCCCCTTCCACAATTTCCCCAATCCCTGAATCCCTAACGATCCTCAAACTCCTAAGTCCTAATCCCCAAAAGGCCGGTGACGCACTTGTAACGCCTCTGATGTTCCAGGTGTCCATGGGCGACGCCGATTGCTTACCATCAGGTGATCCGTCTGCTGGTTTACCGGCTTATGCCATAAAAAAAAAATGAGTACTGAGCAATATTTTACTCAGTATAATTAAATTAAACTTATTGTCACTCCAGGTCCGCGAAGCCTGTTCTCTCTGCCTGAGCATAGAGCACGGGGATCCGTGTAGCACAGTCCTAGAACTGGCCCCTATCCTGGGGGGCGCCCTATCTCGTCACTGTCCACAACACGTGTCCCGCCTGGTGGCCGCCGTGTCCAACTACGCGCGCTGTCCACTGCCGCCGCAACGATGTGCTGCGCTAGCATTACTGGGGGACCTGCTTAATTACAGGTAAGATTATAACTATTGTAAAGTAAATTTTCTTCCACGGACCCTCCAATTGTGGACTCGGACTATGAACTCCCTGCCGTGGTTTTCCCAGTGGGCTACAACATGGGGTTCTTCAAGAGGGGAGTCGAATAGTTTTCTTAAGGGTCGGCAAGACGTCGCGGAGAACCTAACGGGTTACCGGGGCTCCGGCTCGACGTGCAGGAGAAGGAACGGGGTGGTTTTTAGTCAGTAAGAGTCTGACACTCCCTCCCGCCTCACCCAGGCGGGAGCAGTAATTCGATGATTTTTTCCCCCTTAAAAAAAAGGGGTCGGCAATACGCATGTAATGCCCCAAGTGTTGCAGGCGTACATAGGCCACGGTAACCGGTTACCATCAGGTGGGCCGTGTGCTTATTTGCCACCGTCGTGCTGTAAAAAAAAATATAATGTTTATATCTTGTCCGTATAAGATCTTGGTTATGGGGCTGTTGATGATGATGATGATGATATTAATATCAGTTTTCTTCTTTAATGATATCTTGTGGTTTATTTGTCAGACACAGTTACAGTTGCTCATGTCTCTGGGACGCGCCAGACTCTTTTGTTTCGGGGTTGTACCTATTGTTAATCCTGGTGCATTGAAGTTGCAGTAGATTTAAGCGCGTTTGTCCCAAATAGGTAGGTTTAGCCCCATTTTACACCGGTTACGGTATAAATCCTATATCAGGAGGTGAGCTTATATCTAAAGACTGCACGGTTAGTGCGGTGGCTGGGCAACCGGCTACCGTGCAACGTGTCGCGGGTTCGATTCCCGCATGAAACAACACTTTGTGTGATCCACAAATTGTTGTTTCTGGTCTGGGTGTCATGTGTATGTAAACTTGTATGTTTGTAAACGCACCCACGACACAGGAGAAAATTCTAGTGTGGGGCAACGTTTTTAAACAAAAAAAAAACACGGTTGTCCCACAACCCCTACCCTCATTCCACTCGTCTCTTCTTCCAGCTTTCTGTGGCAAATCATTTTCATTACCTACATAAAACCAACTGCCAAACATAAAAACCGACATTTAACTTTTTTACTAAGTAACATAATAAAACAACTATATATAACTAAAAATCGCACAGCGAAAACCTCATAAGAAAGAACCCCTCTGTGGTTCGAAACTAGTAGAGCTTTTCTCAGTATTTTCACGTGAGTAACCCGCGATTTTTAGTTGACATAATAAAACTATTAATGTAAACTGCAAACGTTTCTATCGTAGATGCAACAACAACCCGGTCCTCATAGAGACAGTCCTGGCGACCCTCAACACTGGATGGAAGGACGAGAACGACAGGGTCCGCGCCACGTGTCTGCGCGGCGCGGCCAATATTGCACAACTCAAACCTGAACACAGGAACCAGGCCCTGCCTGCTGCATTAACCGCGCTGAGCCAAGGCGTTGATGCGCAGAAGACTCAGTAAGTATTATTATTAGAAAAATGTTAGATGTTTCCATAAATTAGGACCGTTTGTCATCTGTAATAATTATTAAACACAGTAAGATGATTCCTTGAAATTATAAATCTGTTACAAGAATAAAAACGTTAAAAAGCCAAAACAGAAGCCAAAAATATAGTTTTTAGAATTTTTGTCTGTTTGTCTGTATGAATGGTCGGGCTAAACTTAAAAAGTAAGGCATAGTTTTGTTTCAAATTTTGCATGAATGTTACTAACAGATCGAGTCAACATATAGGCTACATATTATCCCGCTATCACTTACGGGGCCGAGCTGAAGTCACCCGTGCAAAAGCGAACTAAGTCGCGGGCACAGCTAGTTACATGTATTACTTTAACATATAGATTGGAGCACTTTAGACCACTTGGTTAAAATCTATAAATACGACTGATAATTTCAAAAATCTCATCGTTGTGTTTTCAATATTTCTGAATGTCACTCACTACTAATGCTCTTTATCAAGCGGTCGAACGATTGTTTACGACAAAAATTCAGTTGCTCAGTTATGAATGTCTTTAATAGATTTTCAACCTTATCACAAAAGAATAAGGTTGAAAATCGAATATCTATACTTTCAGTACCTTATAATGCCTCCAAAGTCAATAAAAACCCCACTTCTATCCACAGAGCACCAACAGACAACGTACCTCTAGCCGCTATTCAAGGTCTCAGCCGTCTTTTAACAGAGCTAGACAAAATAGACCAGGAGTTCGATAGAGAATTGCTATCAATATCTCAAAAAATACGACCGTTTATGAACACAGAATGTCCACAATTAAGGGAGCATTCTATAAAGTTATTTGGAATTATTGCGGGTAGAGTGAGGTCAGATGCGCTCGTCGACCAAGGAGTGAGCTCTCTGCCTTGCTTCTTGCTACATTTGTGCGATAATAACCCTAATGTTGTACGGGTAAGTTTTATTTTTGTTTGGTTCTAACTTACGTTAATTTTTGTGGTAAAATTGTGATGCGGAATGGAGATAGCAGAGAGGAAAAAGAGATAGCTAAATGAGAAAAGAGATAGATCAATTTTGTATAACTTCATTACATATCTAATGATGGAGATAGATAATTACACAAGATTTTCTCGAGTAATATTATGTTTACATGACATAACTACTAAATTAATTATAATGTCTGCGGCTCTCTTCATTCCGCATTTCGATCTGCCGCAGAGCCGAGCAGTCAGTAGCAGGGCGACATTCGCCGCGTCGCATGTCGCGGAATGCTCATGAATATGAGCCTCTAGCATGACTTGAAACTATTCGAGTTCCTCGTCAAACAGTTACATGATTAAACCGAAAATATAACAATTAATTATGTTATGTTATTGTGACTGCAATGGAAAAACAATTGCCATACAATATACTCATATTTTGATTTTATACTAAGAAAAAGTTCTATTTCCTTAAGTACAAGTGTGTACAAGTAGTACAAGTGTGGGAGAGCCATGCTTCGGCACAAATGTGCTGGCTCGACCGGAGTGATACCACGGCCGAGCAGAAAACCGACGTGAAGCAATGCGTGCGTTGTGTTTCGTCGTGTGAGTGAGGTTACCGGAGGCCCAGCTTCCTCCCCCCTTCCCCAATCTGCCCAATCCCCGAATCCCCAACAATCCTCAAACTCCTAATCCCCAAAAGGCCGGTAACGCACTTGTAACGCTTCTGGTGTTCCAGGTGTCCATGGGCGACGCCGATTGCTTACCATCAGGTGATCCGTCTGCTCGTAAACGGCTTTTCCCAATAAAAAAAAATTGTAGTTCGATATCTATCTAAATGAAAAATCCAACTCTTCTACTATACTTTTATCATTGTATCTCATTAGAAGATAGACAGCCATTGCAGACATTACATAAATCAAAATTAAAAATGCTCATATTTTCTTCAGGCCAGCAAATTCACTCTCAAACAAGTATTTAGGACGTTTAACGTGAAGAAATCTAATGACTTTGTCCAAACGCATCTGTTGGACGAAGGCCGACTATACCTGGATGAGTTCCTCTCAGCATTACTGAGACAATTAGCCGATGAGTTACCGGGCAGCATTGTGAAGTGTCTGCAGACTGCTGTCAACTACTTACATTGTGCCCGCGACGAGATCAAACCTCATCCACCTTTGTTACTTGGTAAGTCTATTTTGGACTTTATTTGAAAAGGGATAAGGGTTATAATGGTGTGGGGGTGTATTTTAACTTTAGTTTTGTGGGAATAAAGGTTAAAATATTGTGGTGATGTATTTTTTACTTTATTGTAATTGGAATAGGGTTTAGAATGGTTTTATTACAGCAGTTGTGTATTGTTGTGTTTGGTTTCGTTGATTATGAAATGTTTTAAGCTTTATTGTCTTTGATATTAGGGTTAATACAATACATTATTATTATAGTCGTGTAAGATGAAATTAACTTACATCCTTTACTGCTATTTCTCCTAAAATAACATTTCCGCACCTGAAGGAGGCACAGGGTCCTCGGAGTCCTCCGGAGCCCCCGCGGTGCACCGCCTCCCTATGGAGCCCTGTGTGTCTCCTAGAGCGTCTCTGTGCAGTGCACGGCGACACGTGACCACTGTGCCGCCGTCATCCTTGAGGTCATTATATGGGCCTAGATTCCCCACTCTATGCGTCCATGGCCCCAAATCCTAAAATAGCTAACGCATAGTCAAACCCAATATACATTACCACTGCGAATATTGTAATCAAATTTATTATTGTTAGATAAGGTTGACAGTTATATCCCAATTACTAATTTAATAGCAACCGACCCACAAATCACCGAGCCCAATCCCAGACAGCCGAATTATAAATCGAACCCAGAAATAGGGGTATTTACCCTTCAAAAGTCAGAAGTCAATTAAATCATAATTTGGTACTTTTGAAGCGTCCACAAATACAAAATAAATAAGTCTGTCCGTCAGTGAAGCCAAGTGCTCGTTCCAAAATGTAGATTCGAATGGAGAAGAACGAGCGAGAAACTCCATTCGTTACTGTTTTAGGTTTTACTGGACTTGTAAATCTGGAACACATATTCACACTTGAAATTCTAATTTCCAGGTCTCCTCTATGCAGAACTATATAGAATTCGGGAGAAAAACCCGGATGAAACCGAATTAGACCCGGACATAACAAAGACGGCTAGAACTCGATTATTACAGCTGATCAAGGATCCTAATCCCCTAGTTCGGCAGAATACGGCCATGGCACTAGCCAATATATGCCTAGTGAGCGCCTTGGATGGATGACGGAGGCTCGTCAGGGTCGAAGTTGAGAGGTACGTCATGAGACGAGTCCTTTTTGAATTCCAACGTTAAAGCTATATTATTTTGTTTGATTTGCGATCTTATTGTACGGGTATAGAGTTGAAAATGTGTTAAATTGGATCTTTTTTAATTGATTTTCGAACTTTATGATAGTGTTGTAAGGTTGAAAGTCGAATGAGTTTGTTTTCTTATTTTAAATTTCAATTGATATAATTGTAAGAGTTAAAAACATCTGTATTAGTTTATTTGGTAGTTTAATAAACTGTTGAATAAACTCCTTTCATCAATTTTCAACTCTATTATAAAACAATAAGGTCAAAAATCTATAAAAGATGTTTCAGTCAGTACAGATATGTCACTGCTAGAGGTCGCTAGTGTAGTTTAAAGTCTCTAGACCATTATTATGATATTATTTGCTTATAATGAATTTATTTCTAAATGAACATGTCACAGGTGCTTTGAACAAGTTGGGCTTTGTGATACAGTGGTGTCATCTAGCGGTCTTTTACGTCCAAATTCTGATTAAAACTTATTATTGATTTATGAAAGCTCTTGTTCATGTGTAATAACAAAACTTGTTCATACAAAAGTAGTCTCTAATCATCAGCAATAAGGTCTATAATAGAGGGGTGATTTAGAAGTTCTTAATATGATAGCTTTGTTACGTGTCTATGGATAAAAACACAAATATTTATAAGAATTAATAACAATGTATTAATGTTGTGTCTTGTTCGTCAATATATTTAATGTTAACGCTGTCAGTTTTTCTGTAATCGCATATTTCATAGTCCATTTTTTAAACACTCAGTTGATACTCAAATAGTACTCAAAGGTTCAATATGAGTGTCTGCAAAATGAACTTGAATTTGTGTTACAAATGTAATATATACTAAAATGTTCGTTAAATATAATAATCAATTTCATTTTCGACATAAATAAGAGACTGAATTAAAATAAACAGTCAAATTAATAATAAAATAATAATATAAAATAAAATTCGAATAAAAAATGCACTGTGTACGTATAATTAGCGCTGTTAATAAAAAAAATGAAAAAAAAATGCTTAAATATCTTGCTCAAGCATAGCTTTCGTATTTAAAATGATGTACCAGCTTTTAAGCGACAGTGGCGCCGCGCTTACGGAACTATTGGATGCAAAAATGGTAGAAAGTGCTAATTTGCAAAGTTTTACGGTAAAAGAGGTGAACTTAAATAAATATTTGCTTGAACAAGATTCTGTTAATAAGTCAAAGTTTTATAGTTACTTGTGATATTGAATTATGTTAGGTTTTAGTCTCTAAGGCATAATCGAATTGGCAGATGTGACTTGATTTTAAGTCAATGTTCATGTAAACGGGCTTGGATGGTCTATCATTTGAAAAAATATTATCTTGAGATTAATAACAAGTTAGTGGATATATTAAACAGCAGTTTGTTTTATTCTTATTATAACTATCGTGAGACATACTAATTAACTAAAACATCCCCGGAGGGGTAGGCAGAGGTGCACATTACGGCACTTAATGCCACTGTACAATGTAACACCTACTTTTCACTATTTATGTTATGAGTCCCATGTAAGAGGGTGTGAGCCTATTGGCATATACCTAGCACATATCCAGACTCCGTTCTACTACTGAGATCTTTTAAAATCCCAGTAATACTTTGCCTGACCCGGGAATCGAACCCGGGACCCCTTGCCCGGCAGTCACACTTGCGAACATTCGGCAAACGAGGCAGTCTTCGTATTTTTATCTTAAAATGAAATCACATCTGTCAATTCAAACTAATTGTTTAATTGAATTTGTTTTTTTTTTATATATAATTATTATTGCTTATAATTGAATGATCTTATGATTTCTGTACACTGCTCAAAAATATTATAACAATACCCAGTCAATTTTGGTGTGAACTACATTTCATCATTTAGTCAAAGTAAATATTATTTGTTCATAATAATAATAATAGTGCATACAGGGGTAGTCGCCGGCTTGTGTGTCCATTACATTTAGATTTAAGTTGTCTAAAGGGCCTCTGCGCAGTTGGCTTCGGCCCCTCGTACGCCTCCCAAATGCCCGGGATCCTGTGGTCCCGTGAATGGTAAAGATATTATGTATATTTAATTTTTATATTTAAGGATAGTAACAGTTTAGTTAAAAGTTAAAATTAATACAAATAAGATACAAAAACTTCAGAATATGTTTATCAAAAAGCTAGTTAGTAATTTATTATGAACAAAAAGGTGCAAGGTGCAATTTCGTTTGTCATGAATCAAGTTTGTTCGATCTAATCTCGAAAACAGTTAAACAGTTATTGATAGGATTGTAACTTTTTAATATATTTAGTTTATAGTGAGTGTGTTAATTGTGTGCTAATATATAGTGATCAAATGTTTCTCTTTTCTCATAGATTGAAGATTCAGTATATATTTAACCGACTTTAAAAAAGGAATCTGTATGTAGGCAATGTATATATGTGTGTTCGCGGATTACGTCGCGATTGGCTGAACCGATTTTGATGCGGTTTTTTTCAAAGAAATGTTTGTCACCCATAGGAGAAGGTTTTGGTATATTAATAAAAAGAGAGGAGGTTGGAGTCGGTTTTTTTGTAACATAGTTTAATGTTTTATAGTTTTAAAATTCAATCTTTTCGATATTACATTCACTGTTTGTGAATTAAAACTTTTGCAATATTATTAAAAAAAATACAGTGTACAGAAATATTTTTTTGTTTTGTTAGGTATTATTATTAATCGGTCGCAATAGAAAGAAAAAGTGAAATTGAATGAAAAAATATTTTATTTAAAATATAGCTTCTAGCATACAATGCCTTATAAAAATTAAATGTTGTCTAAATAAAAATAAATGTTTAAAAATGATATTAAAATTTTCATGTTTATACAATTTAGTGGTGGGTCTATGTTTTATTTATCTTTTGTCTTTGTCGCACTGTAAATGTGTGAAAAAGATGAAAATATAACTTGAAAGCAAGATAATTAAATATGTATTCGTTCTCTGAAATTAGACCAAAAAATCCATAATTCCTTTTATAATTATTCATCAATATTTTTCATGTAGTTTATTTGATTTTAAAATGGCGTGCAATATGATTTTATGACATTTTTATTTTATTTTCACATGGTCACAGATTAAATATATTTTCGAACTACGATTTTTTGGTCTACTTTCATAGTTAATGTATGTTTTTATGTAAAAGAAATTAGTTAATTTCAAGTTTTGAATTGAATTTTTTTAAAAACACAGACATTTGAATAGTGATGGAACTGCTGCCTTATTACAAATAATATATTTAGGTGCAGATGTAAAAAAAGGATATATAAATTGTTTTTATAATAACTATCGTGAGACATACTCTGTGGTTCGCAACTAGTAGAGCATTTTTCAGTATATTCACGTGAGTAACCCGCGATTTTTAGTTAATATATGAATTGTTTTAAAAAGGATCCGGTTTCGCGCAGGCGCTACTTGTACCTTTACATTAACGCCAATCTTGTCTCGAAAATTACAAACATATTAATTTAACGCAAGATTAATTCATTTTAATAGTTATGCATTAACATCAATATTTGAACTGGTTTCAACAAGGGGGTTTTCAGTGTTACTTTATTACACTGTGTCTACGGATTGAGCCGCACAATTAAGTTTGTTTTTTCGTGTATACACTTTCGGTGTATTCGGGATAAAAGTACCCAGTGCTGTGCCCAGGATGTTAAAGTATAATCATACCAAGTTTCATTGTAATATGACGGGTAGTTTTTGCGTGACGCGTGAACATACAGACATACAGACAGACAAAAAATGTTTTAATCACATTTTTGGGTTCGTTGTCCATCTAGTATAGTAACACCTCCCACTATTTATTATTTTAACATTTTCAATGTACAGAATTTACACTTCTACAGTTTTATTGTATGTCTAGATATATAGATAAAGGGGGCTAACGTATTTTTGGCTCGGTAGATGTCGCAAATGTAAGTAGGAGTTTTTAGTCCAATCACAGCAGCTGTCAGATATTGAACGTCCAATAGGGTAGATGCCTAATTTTTATTTTAATGTCCGTCTGGTAGATTATTTTAAATCATTAGACACGTATTTTTTATTTTCTTACAGAAACGAATACTTTCTATGATATATTGATTTGAAATGTCGCGTGACGTCACTTCTATGTACAGTTTATACGTAGAAATGGCGTTTTAGCCCCCACTCCTAAACTTTGATTCGTTTTATCTAAGTATTGTTTTATTATACGACAAAATAAAAAGTACGTGTCTAATATTTTTTCATTACCTAACTGACGGACTAATTGGATTTTTAATTATCATCCCAATTGTGTGACACTGGCTAATTACCCTATTGGACGAAGAACGAGAGTTTCACATAAGCGTTATATGGTAAACAAAAATACGGTGGGCCTCACTAAGGTATACATTGTTTCCGATATTATAATTAAGTAACAGATCTGTGAAACAACCTTTCCGATTTACATCTGCACCTAAATGTAATTTGAACACAATGTAATCTAGTACTAATGTTATATAACTTTAAGGTTGATAATAAAGCTATGTTGAAGTCACACGTATTTTTTGTTCAGCCTTCGATGCAAAGCTGTTGCGTTGCATGCTAAGCAGCTGAAAGGAAGGTAAAGTATTTGTTAATAATTTTAAGTTACTGATATCATAACATAACATCACGCCTTTTATCCCCGAAGGGGAGGCAGAGGTGCACATTATGCCACTGTACAATGTAACACCCACTTTTCACTATTTATGTTATGAGTCCCAAGTGTTGAAGTTACTGATAGTTTTGTAGAAAAATTCAAGGGATAGAGGACAAACGAGCGCACGGATCAGATGGTCCCTGATGGTAAGTAATCAGGTCCACCCATCGGCAACGTACAGGGGTTCAGTTACATTAGATTATGCTTTGTTTCTTATTTATAAAATTCGTTATTATTATAATATGATTACTAGGAATCCGTTGCTCAACCCGGGAATCGAACCCGATGCCACGTTTCGTTCCTATTTTTTATAATAAAAAAAATCGGGGGCTACTCACGTGAATATACTGACAAAAGCGAAACTAGTGCTAGATGAGAGCTAGACTAGATGAGTAGGCTGCGCGACATCGCCACGACCGCGCACGCTACTTATGAGGAAGAACCCCTTTGTAGTTCGAAACTAGTAGAGCTTTTCTCGGTATATTTACGTGGGTAACCCGTGATTTTGAGTTATTTTTTATTTTACTTCTACAACCAAAAGATCTAATTTGCTGTCATTTCTTTACATTAAATTAAAACATTTCGTAATTTTAAAATATTTCTTAATAACAATGACATACTTGGGTGGTTCCTGACTGAGCCAGAAATGTTTGGTTGCATCTGCATGGGTCCTGAGCTGCTTGTTGTCCCAGAAGACGCTGTCCCGGCGCCATTCCGGAGACACGTAGGGCGGTAACAGAGGCTGGAGTTCATTTTTCACCTAATATCAGGTAGTAAGGAAATGATTTTCGCCACGTCACATAACACAGAAGATAGAAGAAGAAGCGTGGGCAGGCCTCCCGCTAGGTGGAGCGACGACATCGCTAGAGTTCGCTTTAGTCCTCCGCGACATCGCCAACTTGCCACCTGCATCCGCTCCCCGCTAGGGAGTCAGTCGATGCAGGTGGCAAGTTGTCGTTCGACGTGGAGGACTAAGGGGGAGGCCTATGTCCAGCAGTGGACGTCTTTCTGGCTGTCGATGGTGATGATGATGATATAACACAGAAAGTCGAATTATTTACACTATATATTATAAGTCAAAAACGGCTAAATCGATTTGGCTTAAAATTTGTGAGGAGGTAGCTCAGAATCAGGAGACGTACATATGATGATTTCCCGAAAATCCTGCGGGAACTACAACATTTACTGATGTAAATTTGTATGAATATAAATAAAGTTCTTAATTACTATCTTAAAGTCTAATTTTAACATTAAATACTAACAAATTAGCAACATCACGATTCTATGCGGGATACTATGCTATTAAATACCGGAACCCGGACCGGAACCGGCCAAGGGGGTCCAAGTGAAATATTTATTCAAGGTTTGACTTAGACGTGGTAGGGATGAGCTTACACCAAGCACAGTTCTACGACGCGGCGGGTACTAAGGGGTGATCTGACTACGAGGGTATCTGAAAGGAATCCTACACCGTGAAATCTATTTCGTTTTCGTCCTGCGGCAAAACAACTTACCATTAGGAGTACTTCTGATGTTAAAAGTAAAAACAAAAAAATTAACATGATTTTTTTTAGTTTAAAAAAATAATTGATATACGCACATGAAACACTAGACGTAAATTTGTAGGGTCTATCCGCATCCCACGGTGTGCCACCCGACGAGAAATACTTCTTCGAAAATTACATGGCGTGATGTTTTGATAATGCACTACGAGTTCGTATGTGCTTTCGAAGTTTGATTTGCAATGGTTCACCAGTAATTTTTTGTTTTAAACATTTTATTTCTTCGTAAAGCTATTGTATTTGTATTACCTACAGAGAACCATTTTACTTTGGGACGAAAACGGAATAGAGTTCATGGTGGTTCATAATTCACCTTAGGTACTAAAAAGGTATCGTTCGGAAAGTATAAAATAACCTTCCTCAACTTACCGGGTTGCACTTCGAGTAAACTCCTGGTAGCGGGGACTTCACAGACTTGTTATCGGCTTTCATTCTCTTCACGGCATCCTCTAGACTGTAGGCTGTTTCAGACTTGTACATACTGTTGATTACCACTTCACGGTCTCTGTAAATCAGTTTAGGAATCTCTTGTAGGGAATATTGGTATCGCCAGAGCCGTATTATCGTTGAGACAAACCTGGCAAGTGCCTAGGGCGCCGTGTAACAGACGGGCGCCACAGGACGTGCGTGACCAACTGCACATGGTCATGCCGCCAAAAACGTCCTCCGCGGTTCCGTAAATATGAGGTGCCTAAGACGCTTTGTAGGTTTAATTCGTCACTATTTTTTATAATACTGACTTACTGGATAGGTTATGTACCAAAAGATTAACACATAAGATTAAAAGTGTTATTTTGATTTCTATTTATTGAACGATTTCACGTTTAATTACTGGTAAAGTAACAGAATTTGAGTTCTTTGCACGTGCATCTACCTAAGTCTGGGTTAACAGAGCGACTAATACAAGATTTTAGACTTTCGAAACGTTATCGTTTTAACGTTAAATTGTTTAGTCCTATGATTGGTTGGTTTAATGGAGCCAGCCAATCAGTACTCGTACTGAGGCTTTTGGCCCAACTCGACTGGGTGTAATACCTATGTACCCTTCAGAAGATTCTTCAGGGTATAAGAGTCATACTTAATGTTGTTACTCATAGGCTCATTCTCGTTGCAAGGACCTCGTAATCGCAGCCGCAACATAAGTGAAAAGTGGGCAGTACTATATTGTACCTGTTTTAAGCGTTGCGCTCCTACCCCTTCAAAGATAATCTAATCTAAAATGTTGCGTCATAATGTAATAAAACTTACGGTTCTGGGATGGAGTCCAAATGATAAGCGGGAGTCATTAGGACCTTTGGACGGGTCTTCTGGACAGTGGCACGCTCTTCATCTACAAATCTGTCCTGTTTTAATGTAAGTTAAGTTAATTTACGAATAATTTTACTTGATAACGTATATTATAGTCCCTCATGGGATAACAGAATGCTTGCAGTAGAATATGCCGGCTGTATACGGTTGCTGTAATTCTGTTCACCTGCTGGGTCCTCTGTTACCTAAACTAGTCTCGTCTCATAGTATAACTGGCGTTTGGAACAGGGCTAAATTATGGTCTGCAACAACGCTTCCTTGGGTCGAAACTAGTAAATAACTACCTAATTAATACAAGGTGTAGTTTTGAAACCGCGATATTTCTCGATGGCATGTCACAGAAGTCAGAGTAAGAGAAAATTTCGGGCCAATAGTTAAAAGTACGGCTACAATAAATCGTTTAAGTTCGACAGTATTTCAGAATAACCGACAACAATGTTTCTTATTGGAGCTTCATGGAATTATTCCTAAGTCCTAATAGGCCCTAAATTTTGGCTACATTCTTAAAAGCATTCACAAAGAACTTACAAATCGTTCCTGCATATTTCTAGGGTTAGTTTGCAATATCTCTTTCGGTTTGTGGTACAAAGTAAAAGGCACATTATGATCTTTCCAAGGAGTTAGGGATTCCAAATCTTTTAAGGGAACGAAGGGTGGTCTTTTACGTGGCTTCTTGAATATTTTCTCCCCCTTGTTATCAGGCATACGATCCCTCATCGATTTTTCGACACTGCCGTCCGTGTAAGAACCCTTGTATGTGGTTTCATAGTTAAACAGGATAGATTCCAATTTTGCCTCCTCGGGCATTGTACAAAATAAATTATTAGCAAATAAAATTAAATAAAAGTACGTAAAAAAATTAAAACTCCACTCTCATGAGCAAATGACAAAATGACAAATCGAAATAGTTGTAATTTTTTTTGAAGAAATACGGAAAGAGTATTTTTTACGTAGGTTTGACATAACATACATAACATCACGCCTTTTATCCCCAAAGGCCCGAAGGGGTAGGCAGAGGTGCACATTACGGCACTTAATGCCACTTTACAATATAACATCCACTTTTCGCTATTTATGTTAAGAGTCCCATGTAATAGGGGGTGAGCCTGTTGCCATATACTGGTCACAATACCAGACTCCGTGCTACTACTGAATTTTTTTTAAAAACACAGTAGTAATTTGCTTTACTTTTATATTTAACCGGGAATCGAACCCGAGACCCCTTGCTCGGCAGTCGCACTTGCGACCACTCGGCCAATTAGGCAGTAGGTTTGACATATTAGGCCTTAAATGGGTGCATAACGATTGTTGGGTGCTATTTTGTTTTCTGTGTAGTGTGAGGTGTGTAACAAGATTCCAAAGTGGTTAATTAAACAATAATTAGGTTAAAATATCTATTATATGAAAATAAGTCGGGTTTTCCTTGGTGGCGCTATAACTCCAGAACGCATGAACTGATTTCGTGAGGTTTATAGCAAAGAATGAAAAAAAAATCTTTTCTTCATCTTTTAATCACCAAACAAAATGTTACATAAAACGAAGAAATGGTGAAATGGTGTTCGACGGGTTTGCTAGTTACATATAGTTATTTGATCAGCCATAATTCCTTATCGCTTCCGTGTACTGTTGAAAATAGGCTTCTCCAATAGCAACGAATTATATTTTGGTACTATTGGTATCTTTTTTTTTTTGATGTCAGGGGAAAACCTTCAAAACCTAGCCTAGCTAGCCTAGCGCCTAGCTTTTTAGGGAGAATGACTAGGGAGTGTGGGATTCTTACCCCACTAAAACCACCCCGGTGGCCACCCATCTGTAAGGGGCACTAGTACCTACGCCCAACTCTACTTTAAAATAAAACGAAATTATAAAAAGAAACATTTTATTATCAACTAAAAATTCAAACAAATCTTGAAATCTAAAAGCTAAATCAAAGAATAACTAGTACAAATACAAATAAACCGACACAATATTCTCATAAAATTAAAACACAAAATAATATTTGACTTTCATCTAAAATAAATTAGGTATACCAAATTAATACAATACTAGACAAGTACTAAATACTACTTGAGATAAAAAAATAATAGCGACTTTATTCATCTAGGTATAGATTACCTAGCTAAAGCAAAATAGGGCAAATTATGAAAAACGGGATGGAATCAGGCAATAAGTGCTGGTCTTACAGTTATGCAGCAATTATTACCTATTATTCACACTGGAGTCAAATCAAGAGACTCAGGTACGACACCAGCGCCATCTTAGTATTGGTTTTAAAAACAAACCCTGTAAGTATAGTTGTCGTTTCTATTTTCAAGAAATCTAAATTACGAGTAGATAAATGTGTTATATAGTTTGTAAATAATTGTATTTCCTTAGGTATTCAACTCTCATTTGCGCTTTGCCCAGTCCAACTGATTCTGAAGTTTGCGGTGTGCTTCTACTATTGCTGTCTCCTCACAAGCGCGGCATCTGTATATGTTAAATATCAATATAATATGACACCCGTATAAGTTAAACACATGACTTAGTTATTTTGCACAGAATTATGAGCTTAGTCGTTTAAAGAAGAAAGAAGAGAACACCTTTGAGATAAAGACTTTCAGAAATGGGGGCTTCATGAATGCGACTAAGGTTAGGTAATATTTACCTTGACATAAAGTGTGTGCACAAAAGCCAGTAGGTACATACGGAAATGATTTCTGCCGGAGCCAGAACTGCTTAGTAGGATCACAGTAACTCCTCAGCTGTTGTCTGTCCCAGGATACCGTCTCCATCCTCCACTCCGGAGACACGTACGGGGGTCGAAGGCGTGGCAGTGTCACCTGTTTGTAAAAAGCACAATTAAATAGTAATAACCTAGCGATGTACTAAGTTCGTCTTTTTTATGGATCAGCTCTTGAGAGAGAATTTAGAAAGAAGTATGTTCGTAGGCGTGGATTCTCTTGCCCATGAAGTAGACAGATACTACAAATCATCACTACTTACCGGATTAGCTGGTACAGGCAATGGACTTAGCGGCGCTTTCATATTAACGTAATCAGAAACGGCATCCCTATTCATTCTGGCGACAGTGCTGGTGTACATGGCGTCGCAGAGGATCTCCCTCGTCTTGGGATCCTCGATGTCATCCACACTGACTGCTGGAGTCATCACCACGCGGGGACGAGTCTTTATTACTTGGGCTAGCTCTGTGTCTTCTTGTTTCACCTGAGTACACATGTGTCAATTAAATGACCTGGATATTAACATAACGACTAAATTTTTAAATTAAATATCATCAGTTTTAAATGTGTGAGGGCCATGCTGTGTTGGAGAGCCTTGCTTCGGTACGAATGGGCCGGCTCGACCGAAGTGATACCACGGTCTCACAGAAAACCGATGTGAAACAACGCTTGCGTTGTGTTTCGTCGTGTGAGGTTACCTTGCCCAATCTCCCCAATCCCTGAATCCCCAACAACTCTTATATGTATTTCTAATCCCAAAAGGCCGGTAACGCACTTGTAACACCTCTGGTGTTCCAGGTGTCCATGGGCGGCACCGACTGCTTACTATCAAGTGATCCGTCTGCTCGTTTACCGGCCGATATCCCATAAAAAAAAGTCCGCAGCTGGACTATGTGGCTTCCTCTGCGTAAGAGCACTCTCTCCAGCTAAGTTGCAAATTGTACTTACCATAACCGCCACGTAGCTGCGCGGGTAGTTTGGAAATCATAGTATACATTTTTCAAAGCTATTACTGCCCGGTCCCTGTCAAATGTGTAGTCTTTTTTAAGGGATGAAAATCATCCAATGGCTTTACCTGTTTTGGGTGAGGTGAAAGGGAAGGGAAGGAAATCCTCCCATTCCTACTATTGCTTTGAAACGGGACCCCGGTTATCCATTAGGTGTTCCGCAGCTCCGAAATGTGTGTGTGAGATTAATGAATTTTGTGTAAGTAAAGTTAACATTAATTACAATAGTAAGTACCTACTCCAAGTATTATACAAACAATACTAACATAAGGCTTCTGAACTTTATTGGGGTCCTTATGAAGAATAGCATTTGGTTTATGCCATAAGCTAAAAGGGACCGGAGCACCTCTCCAAGCAGTCAGTGTGTGGATATCTTTCAAAGGCGGAGGCCTTATTTGTAGGCATTTAGGCTTCTCCTCATATTTTGTCAAGACTGGGGCTCGAATCTGACCCCTACGGTAATCGGTTTTGTATGTAGTTTGGAAGTCGAAGAGCATACCCTCCAATCTAGTTTCTATGTCCGACATTATCTAGATTTTTTTAGGGTTTTCTGGTGTTTATTTTAGGCCTTCAATCGAGTTTTCCAAACTTAGCGTCGCGTCCTAATGTCAGTGTGAAGTTTGACTTTGTCACATATTTGTTTTTTTATTTGAAAGAGACAAGCCCTTTGCGGTGATCGATTGCAAACTTTTTATTTTCAAGATTTCTATCCATGTAGGGGCCTAGGGGTATACTCATTGGTATGCTGGTATGCAGGCACGATAACTTTCTAGTCACAAACTCATTACTATCGCCAATATAAGAATTGAGTCAGAAACGTTCATGTATACAAATACCTTTTTAAAGCTTTTCTTACCGCGTCATAGAACTACATGGAACCCAATATATATATATAAATCTTTACGACTACCAATACTAGTTAACAAAGTCATTAATAACCACATAACAAAGCACCATAAACAATAAAACAACAACATCATAATTTAAATAATTTATTTTTAAAATTCATCAATAATAATTTACACCATGTAATAAACATTTCAAATTATTCAGATAATACCACAAAAAACATAAAATAATATTTTATTATCACAAAATTGATAAACTATAGACGTGGAATCTCTGGTTAGTATTATCTGTGGACCCCTTAAATACCCCATAGAGAAAAAAACAATTGAAACATAAATAATTATTATCTATTATTTTTAGATGTAGTTGTAGGACAGATTATTTATCTATATTGTGTAATTTGCCAAAAATATTACTCCATATATTTTATATTATAGTATTTTAGGAAAGATTTTCAAATATATTGCAAGTAGATTCAGCCGTTCACAAGATAGCAGCAGAAAATCCGACAAACGAAATAAATTTAGAAAATTTTGAAGAATCTAATTTATCCTTTCTTCCTATACGAGATCAAAATCACATAATACAAAAATATTAAGTAGATTTCTTTTTATTTGTCTTAAATATTAAATTCCTTTGAACGCCAAAATTTACATTTTTACATAGAAAGCGTTTTACTAATTACGTTCAGTCACTATAGTAGCAAGAGTTACAGCAGTCAAATCTCTTATACTTTAGGATCTTATTAAATAGAGAAGTAACTAAACGAAAACGACTGATATACATAATTATAATAAAATTGGTACATTGCTCCTCATATTATGAGCCCCGAGCGTGGCTCGAAATTAATCGAGTTACCTCGTAAAACAGTTACGTGGGTAAACGTGTAGTACATAATACGTCTTATGAGTTATATAGCATAAATGAATAGTTTATAATTTTCGCAATGTATTTATAGTAATGTTATGTTTGAGACAATACTTGATTTAAGAAAAAATATTGTTTTTAAACGGTAATGGAGTATATTATTTACTAAAAGTGTTGAATACATCTGTGATAATATATTTTATAGAATAGAAAGATAATTGTCTTATATCATCAAGTTCTGATTTCTAAAGAATAGTAGAGTTGAGAACAAAAGCACCACTTCTAGAACCACGTTACATGATGACTCAGTGACGCTTACAAGTCGAAAATAACAGTTTTGCATAAATAATAATTAAAACAAAAAAAAACTTTTTAATCTACCTACTTAACATTAAAAAGCACACTTTCAGTCTATGCCCCGCAAAGACTACGTTTTATTTACATAAATATATATTATTTTAAAAATTTATATACATAATTAGCTAGAGTGGTAATTCATCATATTTTCTATTAGTTTCACGATTAATGTTCCATGCTTTGGTTGGGCAAAAATTGGACTATATTATATTGGTCCTACGCTACTAAATGTACACACAATAATATAATTATTATTGCAACAAGTACAGTTTACTGCAAGTCTTAATTTAAAAATTCGTTAATTATTATGTTTTTCGGCTTACTCAGGCAATTATTTGACGAGGAACTCGACTAGTTTCAAGCCATGCCAGAGGCTCATATTCATGAGCAGCATTCCGACCCGCGACTCGGCGACTGCTAATGACAGTAGCAAATAATTACGTGAGTGAGTCAAAAACATAATAATAAATTTAGTATGTCTCACGAAAGTTACAATTTAAAAATTCGTTCACTAAAATAAATTAAGCAGCCCAATCTATGGAAACGGTTAATAATGAAATCTACACGAAATGGCATAAATTGTACCAAAACCCCAATGCCCAGTCGGGTTATCACGTAATATTAAAAAATACAACTCTTAAACCATAGATAGTATAAATACATTTTGACACCTTAAAATTGACAGAAAATTGGCGCCAATTTTGACGTTTGAAAATGGCTGTCTAATCTCAATTGAAATATGAGTGCAATAACACCATTAGAAGGCATTGTATGATGAGTAGGACAGCCGAGGATACAAAATTAGCTATATTTATGTTATTGCCATACATCATTGTATGTTTTTGTCAATCTGGAACCTTTATTTCGGCCCAGATTGGGCAGAAGGGAGATGCTGGGCCTCCCCAGGACCAGCCTCGTGGTATGGCTAAGTGGCTGAGCCCTGTTTTGATAGCACCCGACTGTCCGTTAAAAGAGGTGCTGTCCAGCATCCCGGGGCATAAGATGCCGCTTTGGCCCGTAGCTTTCATGTCGACCGTAGTAACGATTTCTTCGTTCAGGACCGATTGGCAGGTTTTGAATGCTGGAAAAGAACAAGAAAAATAATATTATCAAATTTTGTTTCTAGGTTGTAGGTGCTATTAAATATGTAATTATTCCTACATACAATACTGCACAGAAGTACCTATTAATTTTATAATAACATTGGACAAAGGGACACCAGTGTCATTCTGATAGGTTTGGACACACTTGTGTTCGTGCCATTTAAAAATAAGCCAATATTATGTAATATAATATTGTACAGCTGAAATAGTAATTGCGTAACGCCATTTTTTGCGCTTCCACGCATACAACATAAATATGACTCAGATTTTTATAAATAAATTGCACTTGTCTGATTTAATCATGGTTGTTACTTTTGAATGTCATAATAATATTCATTTTGTATTATTTTAGGTTTTCGAAACTCGTATAGTTTGAGAAGTTTAAAACTTAGTTCATGTTTAGCTTAGAATCATATTATGACATATGTGCGAAGCGAACGATGTAGCGAATGAAATGAAATGGTTTAATACCGAATTAAGAGATTTACGAGTCCCAGTATAGCTTGAAATTAGTCGAGACTTATCCGAACACTTAAATAAGCCGTTTATTTCAATTAATTTAATAAATAATTTCTTCATTTTACACGTTTGACCTCCTTGTCCAATGACGTAAATTTCAGCTGTTTTATAAAGGTATTAAATAAAATTATGACGATAATAGTAATTGATCATTTTCATATTATAATTGTTTGAACGATAAGGGGACAGCGATTAATCGGTATAATCGAATTATCGGTAACAATGTTGCTCGAGATTTCAGTTGTCATGCCGGATCTAGATAATATATATTTTAATGACATGTATGCGGCGTATGATACGACTTTATATTTAGGATTTATATATGGTACTTTTACATTATTTTTTCAGCAAATTCGATATGGATCGGGGTTTATTATAAACTATAATAATCTAGAAAATTGGCGAGATCTGTACTAGGATATTATGTGTAGAGTGGCAGCAGGTCAATCTAGGTACATTTTTCTTTTAAATTTCTTTATTAGACTATCCAGTCAAACATCCAATTTTACACATTGGCGTAGGGTTAAATTGGCGGCCACTGTCCATATATTTATCCAGCATATTTTGTTTATATGACGCTCATAAGCAAACCGTTTGAAGAATAATCAGTATCAAACTATTCTGTATCTGATAAATCTGACAGAATAACTTGAAAAACAAGATAAACATTATGATAATTGAGATCCCCTTCCGTGTTTTGTTTAGATAAATCTAGAAAGTTTATAGCGTAATTCAACGATTTTGCAATAGGGACAAACTTTTTTTGCTCACCAGGTGGTGCAAATGTAAGAAGAGTTTTTTTTTGTTCAATCACAGCAGAGTGCCAAGCACGAATAACTATCGCATTCTTAACGCAATAGTATCGAGCGCGTTCTGCGCTCTGATAGGTCGGCTCCAGTGAACCAACCAATCACAACGCCGAACGCGCTCGATACTATTACGTTACGAATGCGATAGTTATTCGTGCTTGGCTTTCAGTTGTCAAATATTGAACGTCCAATGGTGTGACCCGACACTTTTTTTTTTTTAAGGGGGGAAAATCATCGAATGACTGCTCCCGTCTGGGTGAGGCGGGAGGGAGTGTCAGACTCTTACTGACTAAAAACCACCCCGTTCCTTCTCCTGCACGTCGAGCCGGAGCCCCGGTTACCCGTTAGGTTCTCCGCGACGTGACCCGACACTAGGACGAATTGACGAATAACGAACGACGAAAGGTCGATTTTATGTTTTGAGTATTTCTAAAATTTTGCAGCTCTGGAATGGCACTCACTCACACCCCTATTATATGACATAAAGGGGCATATGTTTTTCTTTACTTGACTTCAAATGATATATTTATTTCACTGGCTATTATTATTCCTTTCACACAATAAAAGGCATTATTTTATTAAAGAAATATAATAAAGCATGTTTATCAACTCACATTGAACATTACTCCTCGTCCTGAACTCTCCAATGAAGACCAGCTCCATCTTGCTGGAGACCGCGAGGTCTGCTATACTTCTCAGACTGGTGACATCATCAGCTTCCAGGGTGCCTTTGAAGTGCATATTCACGACTATCACTGGTCGACTGCATAGCAGGAACGCTGGAAAGAAAGAAATATTCTGTGAAAACTTAAATTGTAAATAAATATTGGTCTTATTTTTATAATTATCTGAGGTATTTGTAAATGACGTGAATATTTTTGAAGGGGAGACCCCCTTAAAATTGAGAAGTGGTTGACAATTCAATAATTTTCAATGAAAAAAAAAACAAATTAATGTATTTGTTTCTAAGAAGAAGAAGTCCGCATAATCATTAAACGTGCAGTTATAGAGAATAGGATCTTTAGGTCTTCGTATTATAACAGCCCGCCTATTGCTCTTCACTGGACGTATTTCTTGTGATTTCGTGAATTTAATAAACCTTTGGCCGACTCAAGCATTGTACTTCAGACAGCTAGGTAACTCTGTATTTCTTATATCTCTTGAGTGACAATGAGGTGTCACTCGCGCATTACCAGTTTTCGCTTTTTTGTTACTAACAACGAGGTTCAGAAACTTATCAGTAGATTCGACAACTCAAGATAGATTTTTAACATAACATAACTTCACGCCTTTTATCCCCGAAGGGGTAGGCAGACGTGTACATTACGGCACTTAATACCACTGTACAATGTTACACCCAATTTTCACTATTTATGTTATGAGTCCCATGTAATATATATAGAATATAACCCGGGCATATTTCCAGACTCCGTGCTACTACTGAGATTTTTTTCAAAAAAACCAGTAATACTTTGCCCGACCCGGGAATCGTAACCCGAGACCCCTTGCCCCGGCAGTCGCACTTGGGACCACTTGGCCAACGAGGCAGTCAGGTAGATTTTTGACATTACCAAATGACTTCATGCTAACAGTTCCACATAACATCACGTAGTGCAACGATATCATAAATTAAAAAGGTGTAGATTGGTTATAAGCTCTTAGAAAATGGCACGTTAAAATTAGCCTCATTGTACCTCAGAGTCGCGCTGCGCCGTCAACGTATTCATTCGTGTGGTAGTGTGCTGTTTTTAAGGTCGAACGTTGATTAGGTAACCAATGGTCTAAAAAACACATAGCACCGCGAGGTAACCTATCTACACCTTTTTACTAACAATATCAATGATAAAAGTAAGTAGTGAGACAAAATGTAATGTTTACACCAAATGACATTCGCTATCAGTCATCCTTATAGTTACACAAAGCAACATATTTGTAAAGAGTGCAAAATTATATTTACACTTTTCAATAGGTACCTATTACAAGTGCATGCGTCTTGTGGAAAAGCCAAAATCCGCCTGGTTCGTCTGCAATGAAGTCATTTTGTGATGACTATGTAATTCTACTGTAAATAACGTCTGGGTTCACTTGTTACGTTGCTTGACAATATTTGTTCATGCTCAGTAGACGGATTATATAGAACTAGCTTTTACCCGCGGCTTCTCTCGCGTCACAAAAGGATAAAAACTAGTCTATGTGACATATACCAATACACACAGCGCCATCTATACCAATAATTTCGTTTTCCCTCGAGAATATCAAAATTTTCCGGGATAAAAAGTATCCTATTATTTAATCCAGACTTCTAACTTTACGTGTGCAAAAATTCAAAGCAATCTGTTTAGTAGTTACGGCTTGAAAGCGGAACAAACAAACAAACTCACTTTCCGATTTATAATATTATAAGTAAGGATTTATATGTGCATTGACTGGTAATTTCTTATAGAAAGGAGGACCCAAACTGTCGGTAGTAGTTGCTAAAACTGAAGAAAATAGATGTGTCAGTTTTTGAATAGCTCTATATTAACTTTATACCTATTCCCTAACACTCATAATACATAAAAAAATAATCACAAAATATTAATTATGTTGTTGGCTTTTTACAAGTATGCAATCAAAGGAAGGTTGACTAAATCAAAGATACACATTGCAAAAACGTCAAAAATCCAATGACTTCTCCCGCCCGGGTGAGGCGAGAGGGAGTGTCAGACTCTTACTAACTAAAAACCACCCCGTTCCTACTCCTGCACTTCGAGCCGGAGCCTCGGCAACCCGTTAAGTCTTTCGTGGCTCCGTATCGGCATCAGCCCTGTTGGGCCCCATCCGTGGTGGTCTGATGGCTCCTGCGCCATACGCTCGGGCCTGATTCTGGTCATATTTACCATGATACTAACCAAACGTAACAAAGACATGATTGAAGGAATATTCTTTAGTTTTCAGCAGTTATACTCTGAATCATCTGGCAAGAGTCACAGATAAGCGTTGCGGCACAGCTGTGACTAATCATTACAGCTGTGTACCTAGACTTTATATGCATCAGCTTTGTACATAATAGATATCTTCGTATGTTATATACAGTGTGTTAAATGAGAGACTTTATACATATATTGTAAGTGTGTATAAAACATGAATATGTTCTTGAATTCCAGTCTACCTTCGTAAAATATATTTTTGCGGATAACATTTACTTAATATACATAAATATATATACAGACACTCTACTCTATTCGCCTGAAAACTTTATATTATATTTTTACCATTACCATTCTTTTATTAAACAAAAAATTATGTATGTTTGTATATTTCTGACATTTTAAATTTTAATATTTAAATACAGGTCGCTTTTAGTAGGGCTTCTGGGTGGAGTGATGACATCCGCATGGCTGTGCAGTGGTTGGATGCGGAGGGCTGAAGATCGAACTCAATATTGTACTATTGGAGAGGCCATTGTTCAGTAAGTTCGTCTTGTGACCGACATGATGATATATGTATCAAGGCTAACATGTCATCTTACTATTTACATGTCATCATGAGCAATTAGACTAGATTTCATCCCTTATGTAAACTTAGCGCCCTGTATAACTATGTAAAACAGTATGATAATTAAGTAGATAATGTTGTCTATATTACTAAGATAAACAAAATAGGTAGTCAATTATATAATTTACGTGTGTCATCGTAATCTCACACCTGTGTCCCGAGGGTAGGTAGATTTGTAGATAAATAGTACACTGACTTATTATCACTGATTTTATATCAGTTTCATGTAATTGTAGGTATGGAGACTATTATTAGAGTATTGGTAAAATTTTGTCACAGAACAAAGAATCCAATGATTTGGGTTTTCAAAATCCTCATCGGTAAATAGAACTAAGACGTAGGGGGGTAAGCTTCTGATCCCTGACTGTCATTGAACAATGCCAGTAATTTGTAGTCCCATAAGGCCAAAATTAATACTATTGTCCAATAGGGTAGATGACTAATTTTTCTTTTAATAGCCGTCTGGTAGATTATTTCAAATCATTAGACACGTATTTTTTATTTTTCTTACCGAAACGAATACTTTCGACGATATATTGATTTGAAATGACGCGTGACGTCACTTCTATGTAAATTTTATACGTAGAAATGACGTTTTAGCCCCCACTCCTAAACTTTGATTAGTTGTATCTAAGTATTGTTTTCTTATACGATAGAATAAAAAAATACGTGTCTAATATTTTTTCATTACCTAACTTACGGACTAATTATATTTTTAATTTTCATACCCTGTCGTCATCCCTATTGTAAGGGTGTTAATAAATGTAATCATATCTACATAAGCTTAAATGCCGTATGACAGAAACGTATGAACGTATTATAATAACCTTGTAGGGTTTACATTTCATAACTATGTAATGTTTACAGGATTCATTACAAATTGATGATAATGTCCTCGACAAGGTCAGGTTTGATCGCGTGTGACAATTTAATAGCAGTTACATATACTATAATGTATATATGTGTGTATGTATAAATAAAGAAATTCTGTGGTGAATAATTGTAACACTACTTTGACTGTACGGAATAACTGTATGTGTAATCCATTTATTGTTGTTCCAACTAGGCTTGTTAATTACCGAAGTATCGGTGACCTAATAGGGTTAAATTAAAACTCCTATTAGTGCTTGAACTGCTGGTTCAACTTCATATACCTATATTTGTTCTGATCCGATTTCAATACATACAAAAAAAAAATCGTTTTAAGCAAGCCGTTGTAACGAAACCATAGCTTGCTTATAATCGGGACAACGCCATCTAGTTACAAAATTTGAACTAAATTTATTAATATTAATTTTATGGTTTCGTTACTTTGGTGTTGGGTTTTGGCATCAACAAGGCTATTCTATAAGATGTAAATTTGAACTCTCGAAGTGCACTCGATTGCGGTCCACCATGTCTGTTGTTTTTTTTATCTTTATTTAATAAGAAGGGCTTTTTTCCTATTATAGGATACAAAATTAAGTACACACTTACTAAAATAAAGCAGCTTAACTGTTCATAGGTTTAATTAGCCCTTAAACTTAACCATAAAATTAAACGATACAATTTTCTAGCCCCAGATTTGGTTGTTGAGAATAATTTTGACCAATGACGTGTGAGAATAAGTATGTTTGAAGCAGGGTTGTTGCAAATATCAGCATCAGCATCAGCGGAATATCAGCATTATTGTACACATCAGCATCAGCATCAGCGTCCGCATTAATTGTTGCTGATGTTAGATGCTGATGTTCAAAGTTCGTATGGCGACATGACCGGCAGGGGGCGAAGTTAATGGCACGTGCTGCTGTCGCTTCCCAGTTTTGGCCCAACAAAATACATATATATTTCATAACATTTCGTCAATCAATATTGTAAGCATTGCAAGCAAAGTGCAGTACCTATCCTGTCACCTCCGCCTGACTAGCAAACAGTTATTCAGCAGTGCCGGCATTATACAAACCTACCCGCAACAGACTGCGAGCTGAAAAAGCAGCTCAGTTCTTGTTTTTAAAATACAACTTGACATTAATAGAATTCCAGTATTAATAATAGGTAATTTATTACTTAACTAGTATTTACGTATTTGTTGATTGTTTTTCTTCATTAAAAAGTTATAGAATTATTAAAATATATCTTTTATTAAAAATAGGTCGATGAAAATATAATATTTAGGTACCTAAAAATGTATAAAATTGAGTAGGTATAAAAAAACTTAAAATCAGCATCAGCATCAGCTGATGTAAATTACAATAAATCAGCA